CGTTTCTGTGGGTGTACACACACCTCAGCTGTATGACCTCTGGAATGTCATTGCAGTTACAATTTTGTAAGGCTTTCATGTTAGTAGATTGATACACTTTGGGTAGATTAGGATTAACAGGGGGAGGGGAGGGGGATGTGTGTATGTGTTGGCCTGCTTCTCTCTGCCTTTTGCAACCAAGAGAGCAGGACATTTGTGTGAGCAGTTTGTGCTGGGAAGTGCTTGTGCCAGGTGTTCCTTGAACTGCAGGTTTTTCTTTTCTCTTGAGCAAAGCATTGTGTTTCCAGTGTTGTGGTGATATGTCTAAACTATTGTATCCTGTCCCTTTTAATTAGACTTATTAAAGGTTCCAGGCTGAAATAGTGACCATAACCATATGGCCTCTGCTTCTGAGCTGACCTCTGAATACACTCAGCATAAGCAGCATACAGACCATCATTGGCTATTTTTGTTAATGAATCTCGCTTATTAGATTGTCCTGCTTCTTAAGATCTGTTTTCATGCTTCGCTTGGATGTTGGGCCCATCATCTTGTTGTGCCCTGTGGACCTCCTCCTGAGCTTTAAGGAAGAAAAAGTCTTTTTCAGATCTTCAGAAGTTTGATGCAAAAAAAGCTTCAGTGATATTTTTTTCCCCTGCTCCTTGTGTTGTCTGATACTCTTAAACCTTGTCTAACAGCTTGTTTTCTGGCTACGTGTGTGCATAATGTGTTTTGTGTTTAAATGGAATAGCACCTCACAATTAAGTGATCCATGGCAGTGGTTTATTGGCACTAATCTGCTATTTTGATCCAAATAATGGAGATGCAATTCAGATTTTGAACACTGCAAAACCAACTTGGTGCTGGTTTGAAACTGCTGTCTTTTCTGAAGTCCAAATTAACGTTTTTTTTGTTCTATAACATGGCTCAGCTTGTGCTGAATTGATACTCCATCTACCTGTTTTGAAGTGTGATTTCTTTTTCATTGCTCTGAGTGATGTTCATTCCTTTCCCTTTTTAAAAGAAACAGACCATTATGAATATTTCTGTGCTGCATAATATGCTTGTTGTCGTTTTCCTGTTCAAAGCGAGACGTGCAGGTTAGTACTCTTAATAATGATGAATACAGAGTGGTAACTCATATATTTTGTTTATTGGGGTTTGTTTGGAACTTGTAGTTTTGACAAGCATCTGGCATATAGTGTTACTGAATGCATTTCAGATATAAATAATTCATTTATCAGGCTATCTTTTGAAAATGTTCTTGAATTTTTTTTTGCCATTGTCTTCTACCTTGGAAAGCACTATTGCCTGCAGATAGATGCTCTTCCGTGTTTTGCTAGTATTTTCTGTGTGACTCATATCCCTGGCTCCTATTTTCTGCTGTTCTGACATCTATGAATGGCAGAGACAGCACTGCATCAGTATGTTCATAGTGCCAGCTCTTGAAAATTTCAGCTTTGAGGCTTTTGGGGTGGGAGGTTAAGCATGACCCATAGTTGATGCCATTTGGAGATGATCTTGTAAAACTCTGCATTTTGTAGAATCCCTGGCATTAGTCATGGTTTTGTATCTGCACTCAACCCCCCAGAACCACATGCAGAGTCCCACAGTGCCATATGCCTTATTCCCACCCTGGAATATTTGCAGTCTTTCAGACATGTGTCTCTGTGTAAGCGGCTGTCAGTTCGAGATGTACGGAAAAAGGAAACTCCTCTGCTATTCATCAGAGGCTCTTACAGCTGATTAATATTGCAGGACATATTTGCCTTAAGAACACAGAATTCAAGGGAATTAATGTACTTCCACTTGCATCTATTCCAAGTTAGTCTTGAGAGAAGGAATTATTAAAAAAGTCTGTGTTATTTGAATAATTGCAAGGTTTTCTTGTCTTTAAGGGAAAGTTTCTTAGATTATTGCTGCTTAAATATCAGTGTTGCTTGTTCAGGGAATCTTGTTATCACAAGCATTTTAATTGCCTTTTAAAAAAACACCCCAAAACCAAACAAACCAACCTCTTCACTTTTGTGATTAAGCCCTTCTGAAAAGTCTTCCTTCACCAGCATTCATTTGATCTTTGGTACTTCTCCTGGATTTGGTTCTGTCACACAGTAATCCAAAGCAAGTCCACACAGTGCTCACTGGTTGATGGATATCGGCACAGTTTCTTTGCACTTGATCTGGAAATTCTTCCTAATTCTGTGCTGCAAGGCAAAGTGAGATGATTGCTTTAAGAGGTGATTGGAAAGGAGGGACATATTTGATGTGTTGAAGTCCATGTGAGTTGCAAGAGAGGCTCCAAAGTCTCTGCATAATGTGTTAGATCTGATTAGAACACATTTCTTTGGAAAACCATGTTGGATTTTCAAAGGTGTGTTTTGGTGGACCAGCTGTCTGCAGGCAGTGTGAGAGTGACCAGATAGCAAGTGGTAGGCTGTCTAAGGAAATATTGCTGGGAAGGTATGGAATCACGGGCCAATCACTTGTTTAGATCCTTTCTGATTTTAAGTGGAAGATCCTACAAAGAATGGTCACTAAAACTAACCTTCCATAGACATTTGGGATTTTAAGGATTACTATTTCCAGCTGCACTTCAGGCTCTGTTACAAGAGAGCCATTAAATGCAGATGTCCTCATTTCTCAGAACAGGCATTTATTGGTGGCATTACCTGTTTTCTTATGTAAAATGTAGTCTTTTTTTCTCTATTGCACTAGCAATGGTTAAGTTGTAAACTGCCATGTCACAAAACACTTTGGGATGCCCTAGCTCTTGGTTTAGTAAGGAATTAAGGGAGATGGGAGAAGAAAAGCCCATTTTTGACTGTTAAACAAAAAGCATGCCATCTTTGGAAGCCTGTGAGCCCTGAGTATTTAGAAGGAATTTGCTTTTATCTGTTTGCCCTGCTGAACTCTTTCCTACGCATCAGCTGTTGCTCTCTGCTGAGGAAGACGCACTAATTCTGCGTGGCCCGTTTGGTTGCACTGCCACAGCTGCTTGTGTACTTAGCTGTAACTCCCTCCCAAGCACCAAATGTGCTCCTGTGGGCTGGGCCTCCTTGCCCTGTGTGTGCACAGCAGAGGTGCTGGATTTGGAAAAGCCAAGGAGGCTGCAGGTGTGTCTGGTGTGGTCAGCAAGGGACCGGCCCAGTTGCTGCCTTGCCAGGACACGCTCCAACCCAGCCTGGCTCTGCTCCCCTGTGCCTGCAAGGGGCTGTGTTTGGCTCCTGGTGGAACACAAGGCCTGAAGGAAAAGGAGCATACAGCGGGGCACAGGCAGAGAATTTCACTCCAAACAGTCGGATTCTGTAAAATGCTGTACCATGCAGGTTACTGATCAGAGTGTGTTGCTTCCTGGAATTATCCTGTATACCAGGATAGGACACCCTCTCTTGCCAATCTTAAATATGCACTAAAATGAAGCGTGGAGCAATTGTGAGCAATTCAAGAAAACACTCAGTGGTTCTTCTCCATTGCAGGTATCTGTGAAACTTGCATTTTCTTAACAAAGATACTTTTTTTTTTTTATTAATTGTCCTTCATTTGCTCATTGCAGACCCTAGTCAGATTTCAGGTAAATATCTACTGCTCGGAGAGGTATAGGAGAAAAATGTTAACATCTGAACCATTTTCTAACCTTTTTTCATATAGGGATCCATAAGACACTGTATTCCTATTTGTGGGTTCAGATGTTCTCTTGTAATTGAATTGTCCTGAACATGAAATTGGTTTCTCAGTTAAACTTTTTGAGCTGAACGGATACCATCTAAAAGAGCTTCCTTGCAAAACTGATGAAACTTAAGATAATAACTACTGTATACATGTTGATGAACAGTAAATGAGCACTGCTATAGGAACATAATTTAATAATCCAAGTTTCTCATGACCACATGAAAGCACACTCTTGGTGGGAAAGAGGCTTTTCACGTCTGGAGACCGAAATGGGTTAGTGCTTTTGGGCTCTGAAAACTACTAGTTGAGGCTTTCATTCCGCTAATATTCCTTGAAATTTTATTTGGCAGGGCTTTGTCTTAGGAAGAATGGGAGGATGCAGCACAGTAGAGTTTTACTCTGCAATAATACAGAAACCCTTGACTTAGAGAATTGGCTTTCCAGCTTTTGGCATGCTAGAACCTTGTTGCACTTTGTGGAGTGGTGCTCAGTCCCTAGCTGGTTCTAGGGCTTGCCACATGTAGCCCCTCTGTGAGCTTGAGCTGCATTTGGGTTAAATAGTTAATACACTATATTTTGACAGAAAATGTTTATTTGAAATTACTTTTTCCACATTTCAAATGCTGTGTAACTGCTGGGAGGAAGGAGGTACTTAGAGAGTTTACTTGATACATGTCATGGTGGGAAATGGTGAAAATTGTAATACTGTATTAGTCTAGAACAATATTGTGCAAGTAGGTAAACATGAATGCTAGAAATAGAATTCTGTCTTTGCTTCCTCTAAGGAGTATGTTATGTTTCCCAAAAATTCAAGGACAGTAAATTTTGATGCATTTTGATTTGCCTTAACACATTTTTGAACAAGACTAAAAAAGACCTCTTAATTTTTTAATATGGATTCAAGCATTTTGTTTGAGTGTTCTTATTTTTCCTAGCATTAAAGTATATGAGTTCTGCAGTTTTGTTTCTAAACCAGTCATATTTCTACTGACATGGTGTTTTCTAACATGTTTTTTTCCCTGAACTGTTAGTTTTTGTCTTTAGGAAGGTTGCAGACCTTTTGCCTTTGAATAAATTTAAGAGATAAGACAACTGAAAGATTCTTTTAAATACATACATATCATGTCTTTTGCCATTTGAGTGGGTCTGTATGTCTTTAAAACCATCAGGTGCTTCAAAGTCTCTCTGATTTTCCAGTACATGTGATACTGAGAACTTTTGTTGCTGGGAATTCAGCAGGGAAAATGAGGCTTCTTTTCCTTGTTTGGCTACAGTATTCCTACAGTAATTTTGAAGTGTATAGTGACTACTGGTAATTTACTTAAGAAATAACTTTCATTTTTATCTTTTAGTCTCCCACAAAAGCAGTGTATAATGCTAGACACTGGAACCAGCCAGAATCAGAGGCTCTGCCAGCACCACCAGCTTTGAAAACTCCCAGTGTCCCAGTAAGTAAACTGTTGTTTTTTTTCTCAAGTTTACTAAATCTCCTTTCCAGATTCACTGATTATTTTTTTTTTAACCCAAGTTCTTGCTATCTGATAATGTCACAGTAACTCAGAATGAGGTCCCCTTTGTGATGTGAGCCATTGGAATTTGATAGAAAGGAAATTGTTAGTGGAAGTACTGTAGAATAGGATCTTAAATATAGCTTCAACATAGTTAAAAAAAAATACTTCAAGTTATGCTTCCCAGTGCTGAAGTTAAGCTTTCTAACAATGGACTCCATTCCGTTTTCTGAGAGAACTCCCAAGATTAACTTAGTAATGAACACAGAAGTCAGCAAATTGCTGATGAAAAAGAAAAAACTTGAAAAGAGCCTTTTCATTTATTTTTCCTTTATAATGGAGTAGTGCTGATGGCTGACTTGAGTCTTTAGATACTATGAAAGAAACACCATTTTCTGTGTACAGTCAGAAACGCTAATACCAACATTTTGGATATAAAAAAATATACCGGCGTGAAAACAGTTCTTGAAGTTGTTTGTCCAAAAGTAAGTGGTTGTTTTGAGACTCAAAGTAATTGTTTTTTAACTCTTTTGAGACTCTGAGAATCCAGGGTCTTCAGCTTATATTGCAGAAGTTGTTACTGATTATGCTGAGAGTACTGTATGTTGTCAATTAATGTAATTTCATTTGGTGCCTTGCTGATAGTACTGACCTAAAAACAGAAAATAAGAAAGCAGATCTTTTTGCAGTGATAACTCTTCAGCTTTTGTTGTTGTCACCAATTCACCAGTTTGTAGGGTTTTTTAATTTTGTTCTTTTTTTTGGTTTTGTTTTTTGCCTCTGTTTGTTTTGTTTTGTTTTGTTTTCCTGAGGGGGAGTTGGGGGTTTTCTTTTTTTTTTTTTTTATGTCTACCCCTCTGTGGTATTCTAGTACTTCTTCCTCTTTGGTTTGTGGTTGTTTTTGGTTGTCACCTCACAGTATTCCGAACAGCCTTCTTTGGATGTTAACTGCAATGCCTGGAAAATGCAGATAACTGATTTGAAAACAGCCATGTCCACTAGAGTCTGAGGAGAGAGCAGAAATTTCAGCCCTGGGTTTTTCCTAAGCCCTTTTTTCAATTTAAATTATGTACCTTTGAAGTGAAGGTTTTGTTGCTTACTGAATCTCTTGGTACTGTTTTTTGTGAAGTACTCTGATAGCTGACTTAAGGGCAGATTTTGTGTGAGTCTTGTCAGACAGACTTTGGATATGGCTTTTTCAAGCTAGGGAAATATCTGTTTCATTCATTCAGACAGTCACTTTTGTCTTCTGTCAGACTTCTACTTTGTATCTGGAACCATCAGAATATTAATTCAGGAATGTGGTAGAGGTTTGGCTGAAGAAATCACTGAGGGGAATTTGTATGTGCTGCTCATGTTATGATGCACATCTGAAGTTGCTTCAGACGTGGTTTTTAACTCTGATTTACATGTGTGTAATACTTCAAAGTTACAAGGTAAATGAGCCTTGAGCCAAATGTTCTATGGTAGTTCCTGCATATGGGATCCTGCCTCTTTCATTTCTGTAGAAATTTATCACCTGAAGGTTGGGAGAAATCTGTCTCAGGCTTATGGTGAGAAACTCAGAGCATGCAAAGTGCTTATGCCAAGTACTCTCTTAGGGCCTCTCCAAATACCCTTGGAGTTTGCTTTGAAGGGGCAGCCATTAACCAAGGCTTGGATGAGATCCTTCAGTGGCTCTCCTGTGTTCACATACTGATAAGATCAATCCTCCAGTATGTGCTCTAAACCAGTTTTTCAGGATGGTTTATTACCATTTTGCCACTGGTGCTTAAGTGAGTGAATACTGAAATGCCACAGTGATAGAGGCAGAATGTAAAGAATACTTCAGTAATATAGCAGCTTCTTTTGGCTTTTAAATTTGTCTGTCAGTGTACAATGCATAAGAAGGTTTTCTCTCTAGCTATCCCCTGGAGTAACAGGTCATGCATCTTCTATGCCTGCATATTCATTCTGTTTTCAGCCACACTTAAAATGTTCTCATTTTTCTGTGTAAGGAAGCTAAGTACATGATGTTACTGAGAGATTGAGGGTGAGTAAATGCCCATAGGAATTGGCACTTGTACATTTAGAATTTGGCATTTGGAGGTCTTTTCCCATGTGCCTTGTTTGCTGTAGTTTGTCTTCATATTAGATTTTGTGCCAAAGAAGTAATCTGAAGATAAGCTGCACTTCAGCTTGTAGTAACCTCAAACTAATACAGCAAACTAAGTCGAGGAGAAACCTGTAATACTTGCCAGAGTTGTCTGGAAACGTGTCAGTAGTTATTCTAGACCTAACATCAAGTTCTTTCCTCCCTGTAGAACAGGTTCTGCTGTATTTTGTGCTATGATATGCTCCTAAAATATTTAACAGCACAGATAAGAGAATGCTAAGAGTGTGCTGTACCTGGTTTGAGGGCTGCTCTGTGCCTCTCCTTGCTCTGTGTGGCTTTTGTTGTGCTGCTGCACAATGCGTACTGGCAGTCTCCTGCCTCCGGGCAGCTGGAGTTTGGAGTGTGAGGCTGGAGGGTAGGACAGGAGTGCAGTGTCCTCTGGCAGGCAGGGCCAGGAGAGCTGGCACAGAGCTCTGCAGGCCAGGCTGGGCTGAGGCAGGGCTGGCTCAGGGCTGTGCTCCCGTCAGAGCTCGGTACTTCCTCAGGGCTTCAGGTGCAGCCAGCCTGGGCACTCCTGGAAGCTCCAGTGCAGAGGGGTAAGAGACTTCAAAGAGCAACAAATAAATACTGTTTATAAATACTCAATTTGGTTGGTTTACTTACCCTGAGGCTTAAGGAACCAATATAAGCAACATTTTACTCTTCTGCTGGTTTTTAGTTTCAGAATTCTACTAGATCTTTCCTATACTTGGAAATGTATTTTTTTGTATTTAAGAGTAGACACATTGTCACAGAGCTTAGGTGTATGTACATCTTGGTAGTGCTAGGCAAGGGCTAAATAGTCCCAAGATGTGAGTTTGACAATTGCACACCTGTACTGTTTCCTGATGTATTTAGTGTATGTTTTCATGCTCAAAACATCTGCCCATTGTAGCACTTTCTTATTAATAGGTAAGGCTATCTTCAAAGGAGGCAATTCATAAAGATGATGGAGTTTTTAAGGCTCCTGCACCACCTCCCAAAGTGATAAAAACTGTGACAATACCTACTCAGCCCTATCAAGAGATAGTAACTGCATTGAAATGTAGGAAAGAAGACAAAGAAGTAAGTATTCTTAACAAATTTTTAAGATAAAGAATTACTAGTAATCCTAACTACTGAAGGAACAGTGTCAAAACACAATTTAGCTTTCTTATTAAAAATAATATTTTGAATGGCCTTTATTAACATCTTAATGTTTCCTTGCACTTAAAACTGAATAGATTTTTAAACTGTACTTGTTAAGATTATTATCAATCCCAAGAGCAACTTACTTAGGTCAAAATATTTGTCTTTTCCAGTTATACACTGTTGTTCAGCATGTAAAGCACTTCAATGATGTAGTGGAATTTGGTGAAAATCAAGAGTTCACAGATGATATTGAGTACTTGCTAAGTGGATTGAAGAGCAATCAGCCCCTAAACACACGTTGCCTTAGGTAAGACATCTAATACAAAACATGGAACCTGTATTTAAAAGAGAATACTGAATTAAATATGCATCAGAAGTAATCATGCTTTAAAATTTCATGGACATTTACTTGACACTTCTGCCATAAAGAGTAAAATTTGAAAATAATAATTAAGATTGTGTATTTTGAATAATCATAAGCAGTATGGTTATGAAGATGAAATAGTAAATTGTGCTGTAAGAGACATCTTTGATTCACTTGTTATCCTTGCTGTAAATTAAAAAAATACCTCCTGATAACTTTGTTTAGTGCATCTTGTGTGTGATATCTGTTCTGTTTTTAATGCAAATTCAGTTCTAAAATAAAATTCCTAAGACTGCAGAGTTTAATGAGAATCTAGAACTGAGGTAGTAGTGAGATGTTTAAATTCAGCTGTCTGTTCTTTATCTTCTATTGAGAAATTACATAACTGGCACCCACTAAAAAGACTGAGGCCTCAATATTAATTGGGAGGCTCCTTAACTTGTCTTGGACTATTCTTAATACTCAGGTTACACATTATTGTGAAGTTGACATCAAAAATGTTAATCTTATTTTGGAAAAGTTTGTGACTTGTTACCTGTGTCAATTGCCTGGACATGAAAGTAATTGTAATAAGGTTAAATAACCATACAATAATATTTTTATATACCTAAATTTTCCTTTCTGTTCAGTAAAACTAAAATAGTAGAGACAGAAAAGCTTGAATCCATAGAGAGAGATGATGGCAGTGCTTTGTTTTTTGACTTTGGCTGAGAAAAAGCTTTCTATGCCTCTAAGACAGCTACTTTAAAATATTTGTTCCTCAGAAATTAGCAATAAATATTATTGCTGGAATATAAGTACAAGAACTCTTATCACCCAGTTTGTTTATACACTATGATAAGAATAAATTGCTACTATAATGACAGTTTAGGAATAGTTTTCATACAAGTGCTCCTTATTTGCTCATGTGGCAAAATTACTCTAATTTTTAACTAATTATTCACAAATTTATATAATGGAATGTAACTTACATAAGCACAACAAAAAATACTTTCTTTCACTTAATAAAATAAAAGGAAAGTGTTTTCCCAAAGGAAATCAATGTGTAAGGATAGGAGTAGACGTAAAAGACTCAAACAGGTCAGTAAGCTCTAACTGGTGCTGTTGTGATTGGAGATAGAAAGACCACTTATTATTTTCAACACCTTACTGTGTGAATTTCTTACAGGCAGATTCCTTAGCAAGAAGACTTGATTGCAGAATCACTCCCACATTAGTGCACATTTAAAAGCAATGTATTTTTAGCAGTTATGTTGCACTGTGCTAGAAATGGCAGACAGCTTACTGAGAAAGCTACGGGAAAAATGCCATTTTTAAAATAAATTCGTATGCTGGTCAGTGATTACTGATACATTTGTCAGATCTTTTCTGAAATCTTTTGTATTTCCATCAATCATAAATGCAGCAATAAATGTAGAAAGAAGTCTTATGTATAAGTAATATTAGGCATAAGTGAGACTAGTCAGTTAATTAGATAATCATTAGATAACAATGGAAATTCACATTTACAATTTTTCATAATGTCTTGGTCCATAATGAGCTCTTCCATGTCTCTAAATCAGAGCTTCATGCTTAATCTGTGGCACTTTACTTTCAATTTAACTACTGGAAAATTTCAGCCTTTTTTTTTTTTTTTTTGGAGAAGCAAATTCAAGCTGCTTTTAAAATCCTGGTTTTAGCCAAGCTTAAACTAAAGCAGACATAGTTTTGTACTGCTAAGCAACTTGAATAAAACACTGCTCACCAATTGCAAACCTGCCTTAGACAAATTTTAGCTGACACAGTTTGCCAAGGTCTGAGGACTGTGGTCAGTCTTGTGTTGAAGACTTGTTTACCTGCTGTTCTTGTTAAGTGTGGTCATTTCAGTCCTTCTAAACCAGTTAATTTTCTGCAGTGTAATCAGCTTGGCGACCAAGTGTGCCATGCCCAGCTTCCGGATGCACCTGCGAGCACACGGGATGGTAGCCATGGTTTTCAAAACACTGGATGATTCCCAGCACCACCAGGTACGGCTGCATTGTGCGTTTCATTGAGGTTTGCTGAGACCTGCTCTGCTGCCTGGGGATTTTGTTCAAGGTCAAGCAGGCAGTATACTGTGTACTGGTGTGTGTGTATGTATATATGTTTATATTTATAGTCTAGTGTATCTAATGGTGCCTCTGGGATCAGTGGCTCCATTTTAGGAAGCATAAAAAATGAGAGCGCCTGTATTCCGCTGACAAATTCCTTATTCCACTGTGTTTGTGTATTTCTGGGTTTGGAAATTCTTTTTTAAAAAGCTAGGGATTTTGTAAAAATGGACTGTGCTTTGGATTGCTATTTTATTTATTATCTTTAGCTTTTTAAGGGTTTTATTGTTGCATTTTAAATTCTTTCAAATGCATTTGAAAGGAATCCTTCCTCCTTATATTTAGAGGTGGCTCTCAGTGCTCATCTCCAATGCTTGTATGGGAATTACCACCTCTTCTGTAGCTGTTGTAGGGATTTTTAATGTCTTGTGTTTGTCTCCTTGAGCACTGCTGTAATTGCAATTTTAGGATGCCCTGAGTGTATATAATGTCTGTTGGATTCTAGGAAATGTAAGTTTCATCTATTTATGGTAACATGACCTGAGAGTTAAATTGAAGCAGTTTAGTTTTCCTTGTTATCAGTGTTACCTCTGTGGGATATTCCTTGAGATATTTTTACGAAAGCTGAAAAGATGAGATTTTACTTGAAATGGGTAGTAGCTGTGTATGTCAGTCAGGTTTATAATTTTCTGTAGTAGCTCTAGAAGTGTGGCATACAATGCAGAATGCAACTTAGCACCCACAGAAATAGACATTTCAGAGATGGTATTTGACATCTTACCGTGGGTGGGGGGAAAAAGCTGTAGTTTTAAGTAACTGATTTAGAATAATAGCTTATTTTCCATCTCCCTCAAGAATTAGTAATGGCTAATTGTAAAACATCAGCACCAGGTTCAATGAGTTCATTTTGTGAGCTGTCAAAATAGTGCCAAGTGATATTAGAAATAAATGAAGTACAGCCACTCTATTGAGGACAGTTGGCACCACTGAGTTGCAGGAGATGGGTAGAGGACAGCCACAGTTCCCTGGAAAATAAGTTTGCTTGGGTGTATTTTTGGCTGTCTTTTAACAGTTACCATTATTCTTTCATTTTCAAAAGAACTAGCACATACAGTTCGAAAGGAAATTGCATGCTATTATTAGTCTGCAGTAACAAAAAGCATTGATTATATTCACTATTTTCAGTATATTTGATGAAGTGCTCCCTTTTGTCAAAGAAAAAATTGATAGTTGATGTTTAAATATCGTTACAGTACACTCTTGGTACTGATTTTACAGTATTGTGAAATTACTGACTTATCAAACTACTCTTGGTAAATGCTAATGGGTATGCCCTAACTACTGACAGTATGTGCTTCAACACTGACATCTCTGGATAAGCGTACTGTCTGTCTCTACTACCCTTTCATTCACTAATTATTTCACTGATACTTTATTTTTTTCCAGTGGATAGAAATTTCTCCACTAAATCTCAGTTCAAAGTAACTGAGGAATAATAAATCACGCTCACCTTTACATGCATGGCACAAATCCCTGTAGGATAAATAAGAACTGAGCTAAAAATGCACAGTTATTGGGTTAATATTTTCTTAAAGAAATGGGAAGACTGCCACAATGACACTGTTAATGGAAACAAATACGAACTTATGCTGCATTCATTGTTCAGATGCAGTAGAATAGACTGAGTGTATAGGGGACTCTCAACATTTCCATAAGGAGTATAAAGTAGCAGTTGCATACTGGCAGTTGGCATTTTTTGAACCAGCAGGGAAAACAAAATACCATCTATCTTACAGAGCTTTACCCAAAAATAACAATGTGAAAATTACTTGTTCCACCAAATTTTTCTTGTAGACTTGTGCTTAAACATAAGTTTTTAATTGACTTTGTCTCTTCAGTCCTGCTTTGTAAAGATTTTGAAGCATTGTTAATTTTTAAAATAAAAACTATATTCCATTATAGCTGTCAGTAGTTAAGCACAGAAATGTGGTTTTATAATGTCTTCAGCATGAGAATAACTTTAAAAAAGATAAAAGTGCATTATATGTAGTGCTGAACCCTAGAAAATAACCATCTGTTCCCACAAGCTGGAGTATAAATAGGACAAGCAAGAGAAGACAAGGATGAGAGTGGGTGTAAGTGGTCTGCCATTTCTGGAGTGTATATTCAAACTAGGATGTTTTCCTGAACTCTGTAGAAGTATGGTGTGCAAATCCATAGTTAGATACTCCGTGAAATTTATGTCTAGAGCAAATTTTATTTATTTTACTTTTTTCTTTTTTTTTGCTTTTATTTGGAAGCAGAATGTGTTTTACGCATCTTGAGGAGTAGAATGAGATGAGAGAAGCTCACCTGAAACAAATCACTCTCCTACTGCAGTCTGTAAGGGTGGCATTTGGAAGGATTGATTTGGTTCTTTGGTTGGGTTTTTTGTTCTCTTAGAATACTGATCAAATATGAGTTGTAACAACAATTTTCCCCTCATTCCAAACTCAGAATTGTGTATGATAGGGCATGAGATAGCTTTCAGTCAGTGTGGTTAATTAAACACAGAAGATCAGAGCAAAATGTGGAATTGTTTTACTCAAGATGAAGACTATAGGGACTAGGAGAAACCAGCTTTACAAAACTCTTATCACTGGTATGAAGCTGAAGCAGGTTTCTTCCATGCTGTAAACACATTCACATTTGAGGTCCTCACTTTTATATCAACACTATTTTCCTGTTGCACATCAGCAGTTGGAGGCTTTTTGGCCTGAATCTCTGCTGTGTATGTGCTGTGGCAATAACCTGGCTCTTGTTACACAGAGCCAGTCCATCCTTTTTGCTTTCCAGCAGCCTTCCTGCAGCCTTAAACTTCCTGCATCGTGCCTTGGTGATCTGATTACATTTAAGTATCTTGAAACCTGGGTGGTCAGTCTGAAGGGAAGTGTTGGCAGAGTTGATGCAGGAGGAAAAAGAACCATTACTCCCTTCATAATGGAAAGCTGGTTGGGTTGAAAAGAAGGGAACCTGGAACAAGGCGAGGGCTTGGTACAGATGTTTACAGAGTCAGTGTGATTGCCCTTACCAGACTTTGGGGTATATGTAAGGCATTTCTCAGTAATGATCTAAGTCTGACTTCTTGAAATGCCTAAATAATGGCAGCCCAGATTATAAATTCAGCACTTTCCCTCTGTTAACTGCCACATGCTTTCTAGTTCATAGAAAATCCCTTGGGACCTTGAGCATTTTTTTTTAAACCACGAAACTCACCTAGATAATGCTGGTCATTAAATATAGTTCTTCATAGATGAAGTCCCACATTGGCTGAACAATGATTAGCTAACCTTTGGTTCCTCTGGACTGTGTGTATGCCTGTGTCCTGTTTAAATCACTGCCATTCTGCAAGTACCCAGTTCTTCAAGGAACCTGACATGTACAGTTTAAGCCAGCTGCAAGTAAATGAAGAGTAAACAATTTCTGTAACTAAAACAATAAGATTGTAAGGCTCATGGGAGAAAGTTATTGACAATCAAGGGTAAACAATGTATACCTGCTGCAGACAGTTCACATGGATGCTTTTTGCCTTATATCTGGGAAGGCTGGAGTAGTGATAAAAGGCTGGGGTAGCTTTAACAACCCTGTCTTCATGTATTCATAAAAGATGTAGATTTGGAAACTCTTACTTCCTTCCTTCAGTAGTTCCAATACATCTTCAGTCAGATTCAAGTCTTTATTCACCTGAGGATTTCCTTAACTCAGACAGGAATGAGTTTTGACATAGCTTTTGATAGACTGTCAGCTGCCTAATCCTGTCTTGGAAATGCTGATATTGCTTAGTATGACCAGGTGTGATTATTGCTTACTTCTAAAATAGAGTAGATAATGATTGCTTTGGTGGTTAGCTGAACTCTAAACAGATGTTCCTCTGCTATGACACTGAATTCTGCTCTTTCCTGTTGAGCTGTACATTTATATTCCAGAATTAGTTTGTTTCCATGTTTTATTTACCTTAGAAACAATTGCGATGGATGAACTCAGAAGGAGCACATATGCCCCATACACCCCCCCCAGCTCTCAACTCCTCCAGTTATTGACAGAGGTTTCTGACAGTTTTGTGCTCAGCACACCTCTGTTCCCAGTGAACATTTCTCCTCTTGCCTGTAACTTGGAGCTCAGTGCTCTCAATGCAAGTGTGGTACTTAGACACCAGGGATGGATGGCCTTGCTTCACTGCTGTCTGTCCCTTCCTGACAGTCATCTTCTGCCTTGGCTTTTCTGGAGCCTCATGAAGGTAGAATTTAATTCCTTCTTCAAGAAGAATCAAGTGTTCTTTAGCAAGTCAATCTGCCTCTACACCAATTCTGTGTAAAATATGGGCAGTCAGGTTAATAACATTCACATGTTAAGGGCTAATGGGGATGGACAGGGGAAGCTGGTTTACATTCTGGCTACCTCCAAAAAGCAGAATTCCCCTGGAAAGAAATGTGTTTATGGTGGAAAAATTTGGATAAACTATTGAGTGACAGACCCATTTGGCAGAATCAGAATTTATGTCCCCAGGCACTCCCTCCCTGCAGACACTTGTCCCCATGATCTCTGGATTTTCTGGTGCTATCACCAGTTCATCTCCTCAAATCAGACTGTTCACCTGCCTTGCTGTGTACCCTGAGCTGTTTTACTTTGTTCCCCTGCTGTCTGTCTCTCCTTTAATACTATGTTAGTAGAGTTACTATTTCTTACTCTGCAGTACTGAGTCTCTAAAAAGTAGAAATCCCTGCTTTTCTACTAGGGTTTTGTAAATCTATTGAGTGCTTTGTGTTGCAGTTTTATTTGTCAGGAGAATGCATTAGTAACTTGGTAGAAGGAATCTCCATTCAACAGTGGGTGCTTATGCAAGTGCTAGAATGGGGCCTGTCAGGCCTTTTCTTGTATGAATCTTCAGCTTATTTATTAAAAATAGTGAAAGGTCTGCCTAAAATGATTAGTAAAAGCTAATTGGTTTCTTTGTCTTTCTCTCCCAACCCAAGAATTTGTCCCTTTGTACAGCAGCTCTAATGTACATCCTTAGTAGAGATCGCTTGAACATGGATTTGGACAGAGCTAGTCTAGATCTGATGATACGGCTTCTAGAATTGGAACAAGATGCTTCCTCTGCCAAGCTGCTGAATGAAAAAGACATGAATAAAATAAAGGAAAAAATCCGGAGACTATGTGAGACTGTTCACAACAAACATCTTGATCTCGAAAACATCACGGTGGGTAACATGCTTTTATTGGAAAGTCTTGGCAGTTGTGGAATGCTTAATAAAATGGAACTCGAAAGCATCATCTTTCATTTCATGTCGCCTGCAAAGGATTCCTGGTATTTCATTTACCTTTTATGTGTACCTGACTGCACTTCAAGTGTTCTCTTCAAATTTGAAATTGCCTTTTTCAAAGGTTGTTTGTTGGATAAAGTTAGGATATTCTTCAGCTGTCTGTGTCTGCGTTTGGCCCTGCTAAGGGTAGCTAGTTACAGGGAGAAGTTGCAAACAAGTGACACAAAATAACTGTGTGTTTGATGCTCACACATAGGCAAAGAAAGGGAGTCAGTCTAAGTTTTATAAGTAGTTTCACAAACAGGCGTTTGTGCATGAGAGTTACTAAATTAGTGTACTAAATTAAAACTGTGGTTCAGGTTTTCACATTTAAAAAAAAACCTTGTCTTGCAGAAACTGATTTTTCCCTACCCAAAGTGTGGTGGCATGTTGCTTACCATGAATGTGGATGAATTTTTTTCCTTCCTTTCTCAAACGTACTTGCTCTTTATGAAAATACCATCATTTCTAGCAGAGTGAACTGGTTCTGTTTAAAAAGAAATTTGATGCTATTATCAAACTAGCTTAGAAAATAAAAAGGCTAAGTTGCAACGTTTTTTAGAAGAGTGTATTTTAAGAATTGATTGACAGATTGATTAGATTAGTAGCCATAAATCACAAAATGAAGTAATGTCTGCTTTTGCCCTATTTCAGTATAGTTGATGTTAGTGTGATCTTAATTTTTTGACATCCTGTAATACATTCATTTCAAGATTCTTATTAGGGTTTTGACATTTTTTCTGTAATGTTTATACCCTTTTTTCTGTAACACTTATAATCAATGGGAGAAGCTTCTGATTTATTGCTTATGAAGTGAGCTTTTCAGAGATTTTCAGTGCAAGTAAAGTTCCAAATCCTGGCAGTAATCTGCAGTCAGGATTGTGTTCCATATTCAGTTAGACTAAAAGATTATGTCCGTTGTTGCGCTGGCACTTTCTTGTGTAGCTTTTGGGACTTTTGTGTCAGTTTAGGAAGAGTTTCCTTGGGATGTTTTCTCTCCAAATTCTGGCTATGGAACAGAGAGCTGAATTGGTATGAAGTACCACTGTTCTGTAGCTTTAGCAAGAGCTGAATTTTGGGTGAGGAAGATAATATCCATGACATTATTGTAACTTTGGCAATCAGATTGTGGTGACAATGGATTACAAATTTCAATTTTTAGGCTTGTTTCATACAAATATATGGAAGGTGCTGGTAGGGAGCTTGAATTAACTTTCTGGCCTTGGAAATCTGCAGAGAAAGAAAGAACATGAGATTATATTCTGCATTTTAAGTTTACAGTCTGAAAATACCACCACAGAATGTTCTCTAGATGGTGATCAGCTAGGATTTGGTATAATCAGAGTTTTCTTTCAGTGTTGTTTTGGCACTGAAGGCAGCTTACATAGCAGAGTTTGTCAGTGCCAGGATATCTCTTGTACTATAAAATGTAAGACAGCTCCCTTTATTAAGCATGGAACAGCTGGTGCAGGTTCCTCATTGCTAAAGCATCCAGCCACAAAGACCACTGTCTCCTGCTTGAGCTTTTCTCATATTCATAATCTGATCTAGCCTGTTGCTTTTTTATGAACTGTAACTCTGTTCTTGTTTTTTTTCTTAGACATGGATTTTGAAAGGAGAGGATATATCAAAAGGGTCTCTGTCTTGTGAGGAAGTTGTTCATGAGTAGAGAGCATTAATATCCTCGGCCATCAGTTTCAGCTGCTTTATTTGAGGGTTTTTCCCTGAGGCAGCTCTATTTCTTAAATTTATTTTGAGCTGTTGCTGTAAATGCATTGAATATTGTAGTACCTCACAGATGGAAGCTGGTTTCCTCCCAGCTGCACCATCTAGAAGTAGAGACTGTATAGTATTTAGAGAATATTTGCAATCCAAATGAGATGATTAGGTTCTCTTCCAGTTTAAAATAGTAGCAATGGTAAGTTGAGACAATAATGAACTTCATATGTTGAAGATCAAGCTTCTTTCATGTAGATCCCTGTCATGAGATACCATAAGTGATCTCTGTTTTGTACTAAATGACAGGCAGAAAATGCAAAAAAAAGGCCAATCTTCTGGGGGTAAAGAAAAGCTCTGTGCGTTTTCAGACTCAGACATACACAGTGAGAAGCAAGATATGTGTGTTTTTATACCTCCAGTTTGTGCCTAACCAGTCACACCTTTGCTTTTTTGAATCTTCAGGCAAAGGTGATCAATTTGCCTCCCTCTTTCCACAGACAACCTTGTGTCTGTCTGGAAGTGTGGCTAGACTAACTTTTGAATATTCAAAGGCTCTGTTCTCTTGATAGCTATTTATGTTAAAAACATAAACCCAAAAACCAAGAAGGAGGTGTGTGCAGGTTGAATTTGTTCCAGGTTCGCTGTGCTGCATTAAAAGAAGATAAGCCTGAAGAACCTGGCCTTCACCTCAGCAAATGGCGCTCACCTGTCAGTGAGCACAGCCTTCTGAGCTCCTGCTTTTGCAGCAGCTGCCTCCTCACTGCTGCATCATAACAAAAGCCTTCAGGAGTGACTTCAGTTTTCAAATGGTCAAAGAGCTTATCCTGCTTTCACTCTCAGCATAAGGCTGAAATGTTAAGGCAGCCATGTTTTGGGCCTTTGGTGTTAAAATTTTTAGTAATTGACAAAAATTTTGAATGCAATAGATTATTTTATTCAAAAGCAAGAGAGTTAGTTATGAGGTTTCATTGCTTTTATTAAAAAAAATGCCATCCTTATCAAGTGTGTACAAATATCAGATTATAGTATTTTAGGGTTATTGGAAGTCTTATTGCCCTCTGGCAAAAAATTAATCACTGTGTTTTAAATATTTTGTTGCCTTTGAGCCTTTATGGTCTAGTTATTTAGGAAATTAACTGACCTACTGTAGATTTGCTGCTACTTGTGTTCTCTTGATGCACACAACCCTTTGCAGACCCAAGGGTTCTTCCATTTGCCGTGGAGAAATGCTGTTGCTGTTATGCTCATAGTGGCAGTGTGCTGCAGGGCTTGCTCCTACAATCCAGAAACAACTTTGGGTGTTAACTTTCTTTTCCTCCTTGGAAATCAAGTATTTTGAAAGCAAGAAAAGCAGCTGGAGATGCTGGGGGGTGGGGGGAGGGCTCACACTGAGACAATGGAGTGTTTGCTCAAGCCTGTTGCGTACTGTTCTACTTCCATTTGCAGGGGGTGAATTTACTTTTATCGTTGTTGAATTTATATGTGTATTCCTCCTTTTTGTGAAAAACTTGTATCAGTAAATAGAATAAGGTTTCCTGCAATTGTTCAGTTTAATTGCTTTATTATGTAGGTTTAAAATTAAAAACACAAAATACCTCCGTTGGCGATAAATGGGATCTTTGAGCAGCAAAGCCAATGTATCTGAGAGATTGAGAAGCTGTGTTCACTGGGGATTTTCTTGATTTTTTACTGCCTGGATGATTTGTCCATTTACTTACTCCAGTTGTTTATTTTGATAACAAGAGAAACAGATGATAGGAGTCTTACTGGGTTTTCTAAGCTATTAATAAGATAAAGAAAATTTGAAAATGCAAAGTATCTTTTTTATCAGTACTGTGATTTTTTCAGATATGTGTATTTTTCAGTCTGTTCTTGCTCCCTCTGGTGGTGGTTCTCAGAATCTATACTTTCGTTTTTGTGTTTTTCCTGTGACGGATATTTGTGTGACTTGGTATTATTTGCTACAGCTGCATATGTTCATTTCACTAATTCCAGAACCTCACTCTTTCAGACTGGGCATTTGGCAATGGAGACATTACTGTCTCTCACCTCAAAGCGAGCTGGGGACTGGTTTAAAGAAGAATTGCGACTTCTTGGTGGTCTGGATCATATTGTAGATAAAGGTACACTGGGGATACTGCTTAAAAGTGTGAAAAAATAGTGAATCATAATAAAATGTTTGCTTTTTGTAATGTTCATTTCCTGTGGTTAAAAATAGAAATATTGTGTATTTTTCTTACCAGTGTTTAAAACAAAATACGCAATTCAGTATCAAGTAACTGAGAAATATTAGTGATTTTAATCTGTTTCAGGTGGGATTGAAAGTAGTTTTCATGTTAAGCAGAATGTGTAAGAGCATTGCATTACAATGTATGAGAATAAAAATGGCTTAAACTTGGACAGAATTGATAAGTATTTCTGTATAGCACACTTATTCTAGAGTACAATCTCTGTTACAGTCTTCTAGAGTTATTTACAGACCAGATATTTTTAAACTAAATATACCAAAGGCAGTAAACCCGACAAGAGGAAAAGAGGAAATGGTGGGGGGGGGAGGGTTCAAGGATATGCCTCAGTTACTGTGTTTTTGATCAGAATCTCCTAGCTAGGAAAAGAGACATTTCTAAATGAATTCTTGACCTGAATAAAGCTTGGTCTTAAGTAAGCAGTGGGAGAACAAAGAAGGGACTGGAGAGATGAAAGTATTCAATTTGAACACAGTTTCAAGGTATGGTTTCAGACTTGTAAAGTTGGGGAAGTGTGTGCTTGTCCTGCCTCTCTCCTCTTCTGAAAGACTCCCTTAGAGTCTTCCTTGTTTTTTTCCTTTACCTAGAGAAATGAAAATTTTTGGAGTGCTGATCACATCTTCATGCTTATTTCCTGGCATTAGAGGTGTGCAAGTGTAAATTCAGTTGATAACAATTTTTAAGTAGCTGGTTAGTTTGTACACCTGGCTTTTGGAGACCTCTTACTCATGGAGGAAAACAACTTGTTTTTGTGTTTAGTTAAAGAATGTGTGGATCACCTAAGCAGTGATGAAAATGAAGAGAAGTTGGTTGCTTCGTTATGGGGTGCAGAGAGATGTTTACGGGTCTTGGAGAGTGTGAGTATGAGCAGATCCTTTGCATTTCTGAAAGCTGCTTCTTAAGCAGTTCTGGTTTACAGTCTTTCAGTGTGTAGTCACATTATAGCAACATAAGGTTGATTTTTATTTTTTTATAGACTACTAATTTTCTGATGCTTATCAGTGTTTCTGTAATGTTTGAAAATCTAATGTACTATTCTGTATGTGTGTACCACATTCCAAGATTATTTTTGATAAAAATAACTAAGCATAACATGATGTTTTTCCTTAAATTCCTACAAAAAGCTGCTGTTTTTGGATGTTGTTTTCAAGGCATGAGTTTTGACTCTCCAATGTGTGCCTAGTAATAACTGATCATTATAGAAGTGGGATTTTCTTAGAAGCAGGAAATCAATGTTAAGAGTTGCTACTTTGAGCCATCAGCTGGAGAAGTGCTGAAAGAGAAAATTGTCCTGAAAGGCAAATGAGTCATGTCACAGTTGAGTGTGCAAATGCAGATGGTAAATATTTCTTTGAGAACTCGTAAGAAAATCAAAATACGTGGTACTTCTGTAGAGTTTACTTGACAGGAATGGTGTGTGTGTGTCTGCAATACCTTCACCGAGGTTGGTGTTTGTTACTGGTATTACTCTGTTTCTGTTGTGATACCCTAAGAAAGCAGAAGAGCCTTGTTATGTTCTAGCAATGCATCTCCTCCACACAGCAGCAAACATTTGGGATCAGAGTACAGGTCAATGAATCTTGCTCAACACCTTAAATCCAAAGTAGAGGGCAAATAGTTACAGTGGTCATTTGTTTTCTTCACTAAAATAGAAGGACAGACTTAAAGATAGTGTAAATGCAACCTAAAAACTGAGAAACAAGAACAATTGTTGAAGGGTGTCTTAAAAATTCTCTTTACCTTTCTTCTCAGCAGTGAGAAAAAATATTCAGAGTAATTTTCTGCTTTTATATTGAGTAGATGGAATTGCCAAGCAAGAGTAGAAGTGCCTTGTCTAGTGTTAGAAAATTCAAATTTGGACTTAGGGGTGTTCATGATGTAGTAAGATCCTTACGAACTTAGGAGAGATGACAAAATTCAAAACATGCCAAATCATGCAAGTCCAAGAAAAGAACTTCTGTTGCTTCTGAAAATGGATTCCAAATTTCAGCCAAGGGAATCAAGGAGAATCTTGAGTGTTACGGTTGGATGCATAATAAGCTCTCAGGAGTGGATTTGATGTCAAGTCCTTAAAATACCACATAAATAATTGTGTTCTCTATACGCACTTGGGATACTGTAGTCCCAGAGTGTGGATTCAGGGTTCTGCTGTGGCAAAACGAACGTTCTGCTGCATGGTTTCTGTACTTTATCAGGGAAGATGGTTTTATCTTCAATGCCACAGTTATTTAAAGATGAAAACTCCAAGGAAATGAGAAATAAACTGAAAACTGAAAAATGAGAAGTGAAAGTTTACACTGCATAATAGCCAAGAAATGTGGAGCTGAATAAAGTATAATAGTAGTAAAATGGAATGCTTCTCTTCCAGGGGAAAAGACTCTTTTATTTTTAATACTACTTTCTCCTTCTCTCTTTAGGTAACTGTGCATAATCCAGAAAATCAGAGCTATCTTATAGCATACAAAGACTCTCAGCTCATAGTCTCCTCAGCTAAGTAAGTTGTAGAAAAAAAATCCCCAAAAACCCCAGTTTTGCAAAATACCTCGCATGGTAGGGTAAAAAAAAAAATAAGTGCTTTATACCAGAAGATTCTAGGGGTGAATAACCCCAAAATTTCTACTCTTGATTTTTCATTCAGTGAAGTTCATGTAGATGGGGGTTTGGGCAACCACCTGAGTACTACCAGTGTGTAGGGCTGCTACTGTTGGGTCTGTGGAAGCTGCAGACTGTGGATTCAGCTCCTCCTCTACTAAAAAGGAACACAGAAGAGGGTGAAGTGACATTTATTTATTGTGGTTTTGTTATGCTTAAGTGTTTACTGGAATGGAGCATAGCAGAATTGACAGTGTAACTAAGAATTAAAATAGTGAAATTTTGTTCTTGGCATTTCTCCCTGGCAGGGATTCTTGTACAAACACCTCTAACCCATTTATCAATCTGGGTGAGGTCTCAGTTGGCTGACAGAGCCTGTCTGCCCCTTGTAGTGCTCTTCATAACAGAACAAATGAAGCTGAAGGTTTGACTCTGCAGACCTCATTGAAATTATGATTTCATGGTTATAGGTTAGATATTTGGAGTATTTCTTTAAATAAAAATTAAGCAAACCACAATTAAATACATTAGTTAAAACAGCATATATTTTTGACATTTCTGGTTTTCTTTGTAACTGAAATCAGTGTGGTGGTTTAACATGAAACTGATGTTATGCAGTAAAGTCGTGCTTGTGGTCCATTGGTGTTACAAGATTAGAATTTTACTGTTGGGAAGTCATGTGTTTCTGAATGGAAGTAGTTCTGAGAAGAGAACATTCTGGTAACACCGTCAGATCGTGTTGTGCTGGATAGTCAGAGGATATGAGAGGCTGGGTTTGTAGGAACAGGAGATAGCTTTTATAAGACCATGTGATGAAGCTGGAAAGGAAAATTAATTTGCTCTTGAAATATCAAGCTGATAAAAAGCTAAGATTTCCAGATTTTCGTTTTCACAATTTCCAGTTGATCTTATAAAAGGATTTTTTAGGTGATAAGTTTATTATCTGTCCCTACAGACTGGGTGTCAGAAAAATTCTGCATAAAACTCTGTGTCAGGTTTTTCCCTTGTGAAACAAGTCTAAAGGTGGAATGTTCTATATGTTGCAAAGATAATTTTGTTCTGCATCATCTCCCTGCAGAGCACTGCAGCATTGTGAGGAGTTAATCCAGCGATATAATCGTGCTGAAGACAGTATCTGTTTACCAGACAATAAGTCTGTGCCTCACCAGAATGTAACTAACCACGTGGGTAAAGCCGTGGAAGACTGTATGAGGGCCATCATTGGGGTCTTGCTCAACCTGACAAATGATAATGGTAAGACAACAATTTTTTTTTGCATATTCTGTGCTGAGATGTCAAATAAACCATTAGTGTAAATATTTTTTTGTGTTGATGATGGTTTTTCAAGTCCAGTGCTATAAAGGAGTTATTAATGGTAGATGTTTGCTTACAGCCCTCAGTAATTTGTCTTTGCAAGCTGGGTGAAGAATTGCAGGTGTGAAATGTTCAGATGAGGGCCTGGACTGAGAGGGACTGGTTTGTCATTAGAGCCAAAAGGTTTTTATTAGGCTGCTTACCATTATAAATGTGTTTTCACTATTGAGCCTCTGAACTCTTTGTTTGCAGAATGGGGTAGTACAAAAACAGGTGAACAAGATGGTCTGATAGGCACAGCGATGAATTGTGTGCTTCAGGTTCCAAAGTTCCTACCTCAAGAACAGAGATTTGATATCCGTGTGCTAGTAAGTTCTTGTATCTCATATCAACAGAAAAGTATTTGCCTCCTTCTTGTGCATTGAGCTGCTCTAGTTCCTTATTAAGGAATAGTTGCCCCCTACAGTTTTCAGTGATCACATACATACCTAAAGTGAGGTACTTAGTTTCTTTAAGGATTTGGTGGGTTTGAGGGGTTTTTTCCCTATGTTTGATGGGGAAAAGTGCACTGCTTGATGAACAAAGAGATTTAGCTAAATAAGTATGTGAATTAATAATTTTCAAACATATTTTCAGTTTTGGAAATATGCTTGATATTATTGTTTGAGTTAAAAGCTTTGTCAGATTTACCTCAACTTATATAAAATGGGTCAGAGTGGCCTAATAACAGCAGTGAAATTGCATATGTGAAGGATCTCTTACAAATATAAGCTCAGGGTTGCACACCTGAATCCCTGACCTCTGTAAAGGAATTCTCAGCTCCAAAAATGTTTTCATGTTCAGAATTGGAAAAACAGATTCCTGCATAAAAGTTCTCCTGTACAGGGAACTCTGTTCTATCATGTATTTCTTGAAATTCTGATCCCACTGTCTGTCAGACTATTTCATAAGTTGCGTATTCTCAGAAAGATAGGGCCAAAGATGTTTATCTAAATAGATGTTTTTTGTTAAATCATCTTTTTTTACAGTGTGTGTAATCTTTTTTAACTCTCCAATTTTGCAGGGATTGGGTCTGTTGATCAATCTGGTGGAATACAGTGCCCGGAACAGGCACTGCCTTGTCAATATGGAAACATCGTGTTCTTTCGACTCCCTGTGTACAGGCGAAGGAGACGAAAGCCTGAAGATAACTGGACAGATTGATGCTGTTCAGGCTTTAGTGCAGGTGAGAAGTGTTTGTCCTGCAGTAGTTCCCATTTCTCATTATCAGACTGTCAGGAGGAAGGGAGAAATCAGCAATGAAAATATGTCAGTTTTTCTGTTCAGTATTTTGAGGAGTGGAGCAAGGTATGGGGAAGATTGCTGCTCACAGCTGACTTCTGCAGTGCTGCTCATTACAGAAACAGCTTCCCTGTAAAAGACTGTGGTTTACAGACATCCAGTAAAACTCTTTTGTTCCCATACAATTTATTTCTAGTTTTATTGTTCCTAGATTATTTACTTTGACTTCTGTTTTAAACCATCTGTAAGCTAGTTCTCTTAAATACTTTGCTTCCATAATTTTTTAAAAAATACTACGTTTTTGGGACTTTGCAACTTTAAATTAAAAAACAAGGTAATCCTTTATAAAAAGCAATAAAATACAGATGTAGTGATTATGGATGTGAAACAGCATTCTTAAATCGACTGTAAGAAAAAAATTCACCAATAAAATGAAGACAATTAAAAAATATATTTTAAAAAATCCACCAGTAATTTTGGTAAATTAGTTTAACCATGCAAACTAAAATGAAAAAATTGAAAGGAAATTACAGATGTTTTGTTGTAGTGGAGTTAATTTTATGGATGCTTTTAGCAGTTGTATTTAACTTTGTGAAATAACTGTTCAGTAGCAGACAAAAAAATCAGTAAAAATAATATTTAATATCTTAATGGATGTAGCTTAGCAAAGCTGTATTTCAAACTAGTGGTTGCATGGTTTAGGAAATAATTCACAAGAAATAAGTGTCTAATATGGGATTCCTTGTTCATTCACATTCTTTGCGAATTCATTTTAAATGACTCCTTCATATTTTTGCTCTAAGGAAGCCAAGAAGGAATAATTAGCATGAAAAACAAAGGAAAATTGGTAGAGAACAAAAATGGACAGGAAATTATGGCAGCTTTTAGTCTTCCAGCCATGTCTCCAGGAAAGCGATTAAACTTTTATGATGCCCAAGAGGAGCCTGTCAAGTGGTTCAGCGCCAGGCAGGGAGATCTTGCTGTGGAGCACAGCACTGGTGTTGGGCCAGGTTTGAGGAAGAAAAGCATATTGTTAAGAAAAGCATTGAAGGCTAATTGTATTAAGGGGTAAATTGTGAACAGGAAATAAAAGTATTAAGTCAATGTGTTCAGGGTTCAGTTTCTAACAGAAATTCTGGAATTCCCCACATCAGCTGTTCCTGGAGTGTGAGCGAGCAGCACAGCTGGCTGAGAGCCAGACGGACGAGCTGATTAAAGAAGCTCCCACAGCTCAGCATGATAAGAGTGGGGAATGGCAGGAGACAAGTGGGGAGATCCAGTGGGTCTCCACAGAGAAGTCAGATAGCACTGAAGAGAAGGATAAGAAGGAAGAAGATGATGAAGAACTTGATCTTAATAAAGGTGCGTTGTCTGGCTGTGATGAGCTCAAAAAAGGCAAAGAACAGTGTGATTGTATAAAATCCCTCCTTGTCCTCTGCTTCTTATCTACATCCAGTCTCTCGGGCTGGGATTTCCTCAGTGAAACTGCTGCATATATAGGAACCATTCAGATCTGAAGCATGAGAAGTAGAAGCTGTTATACTGCTTCTACCTTTTATCTGTTTCTTAACAGAGCAAAATAAAACCCAAAAGAAACAGGAAAAAAAAACAACAGAAAGTTTTGGACACTCCATGTACAAAATATTCTGGAAAGGATGGTTTTTAGGCTGTTACCTTGTTCTTCAGGAACAGTCCTTGAAAGTTACCAGCTTTAATTTTGTTTCCCAGGGCTCTTGTTTCAATCTACTTTAAGGGTTGGGGTTTTTTCCCTCTTCTCTCTATTTGCCTCTTCTGTCCCCATCTGCTTTTTGTGTGTCTTCTCCCTCCGTCAGTGGTGTCCGAGATACCTGTGTAGTGCATTGATGTACTGCATCTCTGGTAGCTTGTTCCAGGAGTTTGAGTATCTCTGACGTGTTACATAGTTTGTCTCTGGAAAATGGATCTGAAATAGCATTCCTTATTGCTTAATCTTCTAATAGTAGATGCAGCGTATGACTTTTAATAGTATTTTCATCTTACATGTGTAAGGTGTGGTATATTACTTTTTCCAGGCTTGCTTTATATCCTTCCTCCTTTTTGTAGCTCCATCAACTGGTGTCAGCAGTTATTTGTAGTTTTTCCCAAAATGCTGAGTCATCAGCAGAAAATGCTGTGCCTGTTATCCTTAACACAATAAACTACTTTGGGGGAAGCTTTAGAGGCATACAGTATCACATGAAACATTTGCATTGGTAGTTTGGGGTGTTCAGCATACAGTTTGCACATGGAAATGGCAAATGGCAAAATTCCTGTGTAGCAGAATGAGTTGAAACTGAATGAAGACCATTTTTCTTGTCAAGAATGTGCTGCTGAGTCAGTGAGTGTGGTGTTTCCTGATCTCTGAAATCTCAGTCCAAAAGCTCGTTTTGTTTGAGGAAAAAGCATTCTGCAAAGTGATAATGAAGGATTGTATGTGCAGCAGTAAAAGATACCAGCTGCTTAGAGAATACAATAGACTGTTGTCTCTTTTACAGCTCTTCAGCATGCTGGGAAGCACATGGAAGACTGCATTGTGGCCTCATACACAGCATTGCTTCTAGGCTGTCTCTGCCAGGAGAGTCCAGTAAGGGAATAAGTTCATCTTAAGTCCAGTATAATGTTTAATGGAGTGATAATTTACTGTATTGAAAGGGGTTTATTAAATTTGGCTTCAGTGTGAGGAATATGTTGGTGAAGCTACACTGATGTATACAGTTTTGGGAAGAGTTGCCAGAGTTTTTTCCAGCCAAAACAATTTTTTTGAACATCCCTGTGTTTATCAAAAGCAGTTGGAATTGAATATTTGACCTCTTCTACCTCTCTCCCCTTCCTTGTAGCCAGCAAAAGAATTAACTTTGGAAGTGCAGAGGAAAATTGGCTAAGCCTGTTCCTTCTCAATAGTTTTAGTAAGCAAGTTACCATAAGACTTTTTTATTCTTTATCAGTCTGCTTTAGTTTTTTTCTTCCACTGAAATCAGATGAACTTGTGTGTGTGTCCCTATTAGTTCAAAATAATTCTCAAGGATTGGAATATGTAATAGAAAGCCGAAGTTAAAAATATAGAACTCCAATGGCTGAGAACTCAGTAAAGTCTCCTATCAAAAATATGTTCACGTGAAAATTAGTTCAGATCTGCCTTCAGGCTTGTCTGAATTTACCATGTGCAGAAATGGGCTTTCAGGTGCTGTTCTGTGTCTTTGGACTGATCAGTGTCCATAACAGTCATAGTGTTCTGAGACTGACAATGAGATCAGTAATTCTCAGCCCTTCACAGCTAGAAAGGGAGAGCCTCTCCCTATCAGGGGAGTGATCTGGTGGCTTGATAATCTTGTAGGTCCTGGGGATCGATGTGTGGCAGGTGGTTTTTTTGGGGGGGGTTTTTTGGGTTTTTTTTGGTTTGGTTTTGCCAGGGGTTTTTGGGGTTTTTGGGGGAAGTTTTTTTGTGTGTGTGTGTGGAGAATTTTTGTGTGTGTGTGTTTTGTGGTTTTTTTTTACTTCAACAAAACAACAATAAAAAATTATTTTAACAATTGTTTTCTGGAAACATAAACACAGTGAAGATATGAGTATTGCTTAAAAGAGATTTAAATATATAAATAAATGTACTTGTCTTAGTGCATCTCACATGCAGAGCATTATAGTTCTGTGGCAGAAAAATGTTTCCCAAATAAGATGAGATTGTTTTATTTCTTAGATCAATGTGACTACTGTGAGGGAGTACTTACCTGAAGGGGACTTCTCGATAATGACTGAAATGCTCAAAAAATTTCTCAGTTTTATGAACCTTACTGTAAGTAATACATATTTCAAGTTGATGTTTGAAGATATTTTTGTAATTCTGTGTTCTGTTAATATTTTATGCATTTTAGAAACATTAACATTTTTCAGTTTGTGTCTTCATAGAGCACAGGAAGATATTTTGTTTTTTAATACTGAAAGGCCATTTGTCTGTCATAATTTTGTCTCTCATTATATTGTGATTGACCAGGAAGATATTTCTGAATTGGCTGCCTGAACCTAGTTGCTTTTACTGATGCATAATTGTAAATAGTAAAATTCTGAAAATAGAATATCTCTCTGATATTTGAAGGAGGTGCTACAAATGCTTGTTTGTTACTTGTGTTTTCTGTTGCATTTCCAGTGTGCTGTTGGAACAACAGGCCAGAAATCTATCTCTAGGGTGATTGAATACTTGGAACACTGCTAGATACTTAACTTCCGCTGCAGGCACTCTAATGCTGGAGCTACCCTTAGACAAAAGAAATCGCCATGAAAGAAGTCCTTGAAGGATATACCAAGAGCATTCATCTGTGTCATTCGTGTTCGGATTTTTAAGGCTACCTGGTCTCTTAACCATGCATTCAGCATTTTCTGAAAGACAGTTACTACATCAATCTGCAACTATCAAAAATGAGGGGAAAAAGGTTCTGAGGAAAGTAAATAAAGAAACCTTGCTGTTTGTGATGCAGTGCAGTATTTAAATATTTTTGGCAGGGTTTACCCTCCCTATCTTTTTTCTTGCTTTGTTCGTGACAAGTTTCAAGAGAAAAAACTTGCTGCTGATAGTGCAACTGCTGTTTACTGTTGAGCCACTGTTTCATGCCAGCCAGGTGCAAAGGCAGCTTAGCTACTGAGGTATCAAACAAATGTTCTAATAAAGAAGTTCTGGACAGCAGCGCCGCTCCTATTTGAGTTTAATTTGCTCCTGCTTTTTTTATTACTAGATTATTCCAAAATCATAAATTATAAATTTTTAAATACTTTTGTGATTTTAACTACTGTCTATATTTAAAATTTGTTGGAATCCAAAGAGGCGAGGATTGGATAGTTTATTTTTTATACTGTTTTGATTGAAATTTGGTCATTGAACTATGTCTCAGTTCTAAAACTCCCATGGCCCACAAACTGTAACCTGCTAGACCATAACGCTTTGTAGTTCCAAGAGCATGCAGACCCATAAACACACAAAGCCATTGAGGGTATGTTATCCACTAAAGGAATAGTGACTGTAAAAAGTTGTGCCCTGTTTAAAATGCAAGTCAAATAAAGAAAAATAAAAAACCCAAACCATTTCAAAAACACTCACTCGCAGGGTAGTTTACACTTCCAATAAGCAAAAACTTTGAAATGCTGTTTTAATTTGTTTCAAGGAAGAACTCAAGGTGTGTTTTATAATGTTGAATACAATTAATTTGGATGCTTTAGGGGGAATAATTTTAAAAAAGCTAAAACACCAATGGGGATTCATGTTTCCAGCTGACATAATCTTTCTATTTCATCCTTCTGTAGTATGACAGAGTTGAAATGCATACAACACAAAGCCTTAAATTGCTGATATAGTTAAGATTTTGTTCAGTCTGAGGTCTAGTTCACAGCAAAGCATTGTGTTTGAGGACTTAAGTGGAACAAAGAATCCCAGAAAATACATGACTTTTTAAACAATTTTTTTCTTGCACTCACTATTCAGACCAACAGAATTGATTATTAAGTATTTTTATTAAGGTGGTCTTGAATATTTGCAGACTGTTCTGCGATCTGCTTCGTTGACATTTTTAAATACCTGTATAGGTAGTTACATCATGTTACTCCATTGAATTTGTAAAACTTGAAGCCATAAAAATATTAGTTCTATGTATAATGAGGGGGAAATAACAGGAAATCTAACCTGCTTTTAGATCTTGTGTTATCTCCGTGTATAAAGTTAAGAACTTGTGCTTTTGTATCAGTGCCAGCTGTAAATTTTTTACATACAGTGGCTGCCTTCTATGTCTTCCTATTTTTGATAATGCAGATTGTTGGGAATTCTGTAAGGAAGTAACTGATTAACGGCAAAAATCTTATGTTGGTCATATTTTTTTTTGCATTTTCTCTCATCACCTTCTAAAACTTAGTGTATCAGTGTAACTTAGAAAAGTTTTTGAGGTTGTATTCCCCTTCTTCAAAAAAAACCAAACCAATATTGAGAGAGAGGGAAAAGGTGTATGTAAATGATCTGCATGAGGAAAAAATTATTAAATCTTTGGCCTATCTAGTTTTCGAATTTTAGAGATTTTCACATGTATAATGAGATTTCACATTGATTATGTAGTTTCATGTGGAGAGATGGCAAGAGAAAAGAATATGCAAATGTGGTGATAGGGGAAAGCAGGGACAACTACCTTTCTTTGTTACACTGGTAATTGTTTGGGAATTGATTTACCTCAGTGTTTAACAGTTTTTTTTTTTTAATGTAACTAATTGTCAAGCACTGACAAATGCAGATTTTTTTTTTTTTTTGAGGGTGGGGGGAGAAATCACCCTGTGAACTGCAGTGCATTTTTGTGTGTTAGACCCTCAAATAACTCTGCATTAAAGGGTACTTGAGGTCAACTTGCAAATTAAAGTTTTAAAGTAACATTTTTTTCCATTGTAAATATTTGTGTAAATACTCTCAATTGGAAATTAGAACAGTAGAGTACTTTTCTGAATCCAATCCTATTTTTATTTTATACAGTATTTCTCAGCTGTGATCTTTGGAGCAAAAGCCAACGGCAGGAAAAATAGTTTGTACCAGTTTCATGAAGTATGTCTTTGGGTTTTTGTAAATAATTTTAACTCAAATAAAATTGCTACTTTCAATACATATCTTGTCTTTTAACATGCAATAAAACACTCCTCTGAGTGATTGCAGAAGGAAAGCAGTGTCAGGTAAATTGCTAAAAGAAAAAATGAAAAAAAAAAAAAAAGATGAAAAAAATTATTAAGAGCGTTCTGAACGTAGTGCTTTGCATTTCACCTGTGTGTTGGGACAACAAAATTCAGTGCCTGGACCTGAGACTGTGGTCAGTCAAACCAGCCAAGGCTGGACATTTTCTGGAGATGATGTATTGTGATGCATTTTGGAGTTCTCTGCACAAATTGATCTTTCAGTAATAACCCTGGAGAGCTCTAGTCAGAATACCATAAATGTGATAGAGCACAGGGAAAATGGCACAGTTCTTACGGTGAGACTTTTCACATCATGGGGGATGTTAATGGCTTTAAGTGAAAAGGGAGGAAATTACCATGAATGTTACTCTGCTTCTTCATTAACAGGGATGATGCTTTAATTTCAGGATGGATTATTTCCATGGATTTTTTCTTGATTGGTACAACTAGCTATGGGTACAATATGCAATAATTTGTGAGCTGTAATGCGAGTTGAATGTGATGTCATCTCACTGCCACTTCGAACAAGCAGCAGCATAATGTAACATCTTCTGTGCTGTGAGGGAATGGTACTGGAGTTTGAAACATGGAACAGTGTGTTATTAGTGTGTAGTACTGTAAAAGCCAAATGCAGCTTTATGTAAGCAAATGCTTTTAAAAAATCTGGTAAGAGTATTTCCTCTTTTGTTGGTGGTTACGTAATGGAAGCATTGTGTGTGAATGCTTAGGCGTGACATCAGCATTTTCAGATTAACTGGATAATTGTGATGCTTCTACAGAAGATTTAGGAATCTTTCTCATAAATTATTTCCCTTTTAATCTGTTTTGAAATGCTTGATTTGCCTAGGAGGAAGTGATGTGGTCTGGTGTCTATGTTTTATCTCATATTTCCTTTCTGGGCATCACTAAGCAGAAGCCAGAGTATACTTGATTAGCTGGGGCTATAACCAGGCAAGCCTGCGTGGCATTTCTAGTAAAGTTTCTTTTCATGAATGTGGTACTTTTCTTGTTTAAAAGGCATGGGAAACTAAAAACATGAATTTGAGTTCAAAAGATGAAGAGGATTTAGGTTACTGCCATTCTTCTGCATCAATCCTGCCCTTATTGGATGGCCTGTTAATTGGGTTTTTGAAGATAATGAAATAGGAATTTACCCTGAATTACAGTAGCCAAGTGTTTTCAAAACCAGGCTACTGTAGTTTTTGATACTGCTGCTTCTCTTCCTCTGTGTGATATATTAATTTGTCTTTGGAAAAAGGACACTATTGGGTCCTCTCAGCTGTGTGGAACAGACGTCTTTCATACATACTCTTTTTTACTTGCTCTAAAGGTCCCCTATTTAAGGGATTGTAATTTGTTAAGACATTTGCAGAATTAGTGGGCTCAGATAGTCTTACTGTAAATAAAAATGAAACCATTATAAACAATGCAACAGCTAGAATACCTTACCCAAGGGTAGATTGGTTTGCTAATGCCACAGGATCTTTATTCCAGCTGTGCAAACTGAACTGAATTTGCAGCTGTAGGTTGTGGCCCAGGTAGCCACGCTTGGTACGATACATCTGTGTGTGACAGCAGTGCTCTGGTGATGCACAGGGGGCTGTCAGGAGCCCTGGGGGCTGTAAGGAGCCCTGGGGACAGCAGCCTTGCTGGGAGTAAAGGGAGCTGCTCTGGAGGGAGCCTGACATCTGAGAGGCAGACGTGTCACATCTATCACCTGCTGTCTTCAGATTTATCTCCACATCTCCTAACCTGCAACTTGATCTGCAGTTCATCACTTCGGAGAAGCAAATGCCAAAGACTTTCTCTCCATGTGTGGAAAGTCACATTGGTAAATAATGAGGAGTTGTGCAGGTAGTCGTACCTATTTCCAGAATCCCGGTCTGTCTTTGGTGGAACAAAGTTACTTAAAGGAAGGTTCATGGAACTTCTGCAGAGTAAAATCAGGTGGTATCTAAATGGGGACTCTGCTTAGAGTAAAAGAAAGAATAACACAAATTGTGTTACATACACTGCTTAGTGTAGGAATCCTTTAAATTCCCTGTATTATAACAGAAGATTCAGTTGTGTCTCTGCATTTAGTTTTTTAAAAGTGAGGAGGAAGAGCATTAACCTGGTGTGTGAAGTGGCTGAAATGTCATTCCAGCTGAACCTATGATTATGTTCTAGAAGGACAGTTATTTTGTTTCTTGTGTTTCCAGTACACAAGGCATGAAAACCAAGATGAAAGGCATTACTGCAGAAGTTTGAAGTGAGAAAGGGAAGGAAGGCATTGATTTTGTTAAATGATACCATTCAGGAGCCTTGCACACACCTTACCTGTGGGAATGATGTCAAAGGTGTGGAACCGTGGGGTTTTATTCATGCATGTTTTGTTGGCCTCTTACTGCAAACGTGTGTCTCTTGAAAACATTTCTGGGGCAAGAAGTTTTAAAATATCCAGGTGGAGTTGTTTTCTGATCCACTGTTAAATTTATAGTCTGAATTGAAGTACAAACCATAAGGAAGTCTTGGACTAAGATCACTTTGTGCCACAGCTCTGTGTAGAGGCATGAATTTGGGTTCAAAAGCTTGATATTCAGGTTACTGAGCCTTAAAAATGAGTTCAGTAATCTGTTATATAAAACGTGTGTAACATCTGGTGTCATTTTGCTGGCTCATATTTTAAATTTTTGTCTTCATTTGACAATTTTAAAGCAAAGCTATCTTACCCAAATTAAAAATATCTAGGCTGAAGTGCTATAATGAAATTATACTTTAGCAGCAGAAATGGAGCATTGTGAATTAAATAGAAGTGATGCAATTATTGTTTGTAGTCTCTTCTGCCCTGTTTTTAAAACCTAGCTATAAATTTTTAATAAGGAAATTATTTCTGGTAGCGGAAAAATCTGATTGTAGTTTGTGTGCTGAGTATATTAATGGATCTGAAACATCCAGTTTCAGAATGGAGCTTTGTGTTGCAAAACAGTGGTATTTTGCGATACCTTAGATTACAGTGAGAACCTTACTGAGGCTTTTGTGAGAAAAAATTTGTAGCTATTTTAGCCCAGATAATCATACAAGTTCCCTCTTATTTAATATAGGTTCTAATGGTTTTTCAAGTGTAATTTCAAATGTGAGACAAAAGCAAACACACAGGACTTCAAGTCATTTAAGTATCCCTGTAGAATATAAATTGAAACTACTGGAGAAAACCAGTAATCTAGAATGATTTTTTAGTCTATTATACATCCAATCTAGGACTGTAAAAAAAAACCCAAAACTTAAAATCATTCTGTTGAGAGAACTAAATTTTTATGCTCCTCACAAGAAGAGACAAATTACATCTGTCCAGGTGTGGTTATACAAAGATGAACTGTATGTTAATTTTATGTAATAGTTGTGATTAGCCTTCAGAAGTTCTCAGGAGAACTGGTTTTTGCTCCTTGATACATGATACAGCTTCAGCTTTTTTTAAATCTGAAAATACCATAGGATCAATGTCCTTTGGTTTCTGAACTTTGCTACCTGAGGACCAAGCGATCAGCTCTTGAACCACAGGTGTCTGCACAATCCCATCCTTCTCTGCAGATTTTACCTGGTCACCATTTTCAAAATGCTCAGTTCAAAGCCTGCTAAGCTCAGTCAGTCCTGCGCTGTGGTGATGGTCTTTAGAGCTGAGCTCAGTTTTCTGTGAGAAAACCTCAGCAGTGCTGAGTTCTCAGCAGGACCCAAAGGGCTCCTGCGTCAGCGAGACCCAGGGAGCAGGGGCCCGGTGCCAAACCCGTGGCAAGGGGCTGGCGTGTGTGCGAGGGCTTTGCTCGGGTCACTGGAGCGCCGCCTCGGGCTCCGGCTGTTCACAAGCAGCTCGGGCTGTTCACAGGAGCCTGAACTGGAACGGGGGGAGGGCACCTGCTCAGGCTGTTTCAGCACCAGATCTTGCTGGTACCAGAACTCCCCCATGTTTCCCAGGCTGATTTCAAAACCCATGTGGGTGCTGAGCCATCGTGAGCCTCATTCCAGTGAGAGCAGCACATGGCACCGCTGCAAGTAGGTGCTTTGCAGATGCCATACACTGCTGAACCAGAGGGAACTTCTTGCAGCATTGAGAACTTGGCAGGATAAGCTGAGGTCTGTGTTCTGCTCGAGGTTTGGCAGTATACTGTGTAACATCTACAAACTTTATTTCTCCTAAAGTTGTGCAGATCAACAGTGGCATGTTGCTGCCAGGTGCCTTCCTTGGAAGCTGCTTTGCTTTCTTCATTGAATGCAAATGAAAATTGTACATACCCATGAAATTTCTTTACATCATTCTCTATTCATCTTCCCCTCTCTCATTTCAATCTCACTGCTGAAATAAGATTTTGTAAGAGGAGTTCTTTGCAGGAGTACCTGAGAGTTGTTGTTTAGCACCACAAAGAAACTGATTGTAGAATTTCTCTTCTACTCTGGGAGCTGGTGGGGAGAGAGGAAGGGATGTGACCTGTCCTGGTCTAAAATCTGGTCTAAAATGGCTCTTAAATTGCTACTGTTTCAGAATGCTGAGGTCTGCTTCCATCAGCCTAAGGTCCAGGCTGCATCATGGCACTTGGTTTATTGCCCACCTTTGTAGTGCCAATTTCACAGAAACACTGAAGTTTGGAATCCTGAATTTTCACACCACAATAAGAATCAGCACTAACTAATGCACTATGCAGAAGTAGGAGAAAATAGATTACTTGGGAGTAAACTCACCTGCCATGATGTCCAGTTATAAGCACAGATACTAGAGTAGAACTGGTTATTTGAGATGCTGTGAAAGATGTGAAACTCACAGTCTTCTGATGTCAGTATTTCAGAACAACCATCATAAGCATCAAACTGCAAGGAACAAAAGGAAGATTACAGGTATTTTGCTCTTTCTACTTTCATGAGGAGCGAGCCAGGAGCTACATAAACCTTAACAACACAGCTTCA